TCCTATAATCATGGGAAGTCATCTAGGCCAAACTGCCTGGTGACACAGTGTAGTTACCCCTCTCATCTTTAACTGACTCCTTCACGATCCTCCGATTGGTTAAACTGGTGATTTTGTTATTTTATCCTTAATAGAAATTGGAGCAACTTTATTACTTTCAAGATTTCAAATAAAATTCCCTCAAGGTAACATAAGCAGAAGCAATATCCTGTGAATGAATGAAAAGGCAATGTCTAGACCATGGATCCTTGAAGTGACCCCAGTAGGTAGTATAAACAGATTTCTCCTTTGTTTCTCAGACTATTCTCTCTGTCCTGAGGTGCCCTCGGCCCCCTCACTGTTTTTCACTCTCTTTCTCTCCCCGCACTCCCTTGCCCCCCACTTCCTCTCGTCTTTCCTCCCTCCCCTCTGGATCTTCTTACTTTGCCCAGGGAGTCTGCAAATCTTGCCTCATGATGGGACTCAACCTGAGTTGTTGCACATCCCTGGATTGCATTGAAATGATTCTTCATTGTCTTCTATTTTCTTCTCTTCCCCTTGTAATTATATTTTCTTTTCCTGTTGTTACTTTATATGTCCTCAGGTAGGAAACTTAAAGTTAGCAAATGAGGAGTCTCTAAACCCACAACTGTCCCTTTCATCTCGAAGGTCATTCCTTAATATAAAATACAAAAGAATAAAATAAATAAACACAAAATATATACATATGAACCATAATTATTCTTATAGACTTCTTTATTTAATCATATATTTAACAGTTCAATTTCTAGATGACAAGATTAAAATATCCCTTGCTGGCTATTCTGCATATAATTGATTAGATAACTGTTATTTGATACTTCTTGAAGGTTATTTTTCACATGACAGTCTTCTTAATCTCTCATAAATATTACCTGTAGGCCACTCTATTTCTGTCTTCATAATATTAAGTTCAAGTATCAACTCTTAAATGTTAAAAAAAAAAAAATGTTCCTTAGGCAATTTTAGTAGCAATACTACACATAGAGAGATATCTACAGAAAAAGCTAATTTTCAGTAAGCTTTTGAACATGTCAATGCTTGTCTTAGAATGAATTTAACTAAGTTTTAGGTTCTAACCAGTATATCTCATTTCAAATGAAATGCACTACTTGAAAGTCCACGTAGTTTAGATAGTGATCATTCACTTTACAAGAATTCTCAGTATAGAGTTCACTCATTTAACTAGATTACTAACTCAAACTAAGTTTCATTTCTGCATGATATTTCAGGAATATATCTATTATACCGTTTTAACTCTGCTGTGGATGATTTCAATGAAACTAAATATTTAACTCAAATCATTTTTGTATAGTTGATTAGATTCAAGTTTCAAAGAGAAGCTCCACTTTGGGCACTTTCCTGAAAGTCAGTATAATGTTTAGTAAGTTCAGAAATATTTGCAAACACTTTTTAAAATGTGAATGTCATCATCATTAATATTGAAATCTGCCAAATAGTTAAATAAAATGTGTTTGACATTGTTCTTGTTTCTTTAAAAGTGATATTTACTTTAGCACTAACAATCTGTTTTTTGACTATGTTTGTTTATAGGAGCAAGACAGAAAGATGGACTACTCTTCTTTAATCTGAAGACTGCATTATAACAGCACTAAGAATTCATCTGAAAAACTTCCTCTACATGTATTATTCTTAGTTTTTGCTTCTTATAAATCAAGTGTGTAAGTTTCTATATTTTCCTGAACAACTCTGTTAAGACACTTCATGTTATTTTAGTTTTACTAGGCTGATTGAATGGTTGCATCTTTTTCCTCTGTACAACTTTCTTTTTATACTTTAATACAGTATATAAGCTTTCTATTCATCTTTCCCTTCTTTTAACTAGACAAACAATCCCTTAAGTATTTTCATAGTTCAATCAAACCATACAACAGAATGGGATTGGTTCTTTTATACACCAAGTGAGCAAATCAATAATTTGGATCAAAAATCTCCTTATAGTTTCTTGGAATATGAGGACTAGCTGACAGAATTATAGCATGTGCCTGGATTTTAAATATAATGAATCTGCACTTTGAATCATATGCTAGCCAAGCCTAGTCATTCTCTTGGTTATATTCTACATGTTCTTTTATTGGATTTAGCATGATTTCAGATTTGATTGTGAAAATAGTGGTTTTAACTTTTGTGCTTTAATTTTCCCACTTGTACAACATCATGACACTATTTGTTGTCTTAAAATAGAATGGCTTAAAATACCAAAGAGCCCATAACTGCATTTAAAATTAAGTTCTTAGTCTCAGAAATGTATAAAGTATTTATTTCCCAAACTTTGTTATGAGTGTATAGCATTTTTTTTTTTTTGTCTTCTTCAATGATTCCCACCACAGTTGCATACTCCTGTCTCTCACAGATTGTTCGCAATCTGAAGAGTGACGCGTTTGGAGTGATAGAGTAGAATGTAAGCTCCGATTCAGTGGCTCTGATTTTCTCCAGCCCTAGCTATACCAATAACAGTAACCTAGGAGTACATCACTTGCTCCCTATGGTTTTAAGTGATACTGAGAATCCAAATCACAGAATCTTGCATGTACATTCAAAACTGACTCAGTTGTAACCCAGTTCTGAAGGTTATTTCAGTGAGTGTTCACAGTGAGTCTCGAAGAGTTAAATAGTCCTATAGATAAATATTTAGCTTGTCAGAATTAATGTGTGTCAATATATTTGACAAATGTTACATTGGATTATTTCTTACTCTAAAAAAGAATACCTTGAAGATTCTTTCAGGCTTTCCTATTTAAGGACTCTCGTAGTTACTCATTTGTTCAAAGATAAAGCATTCTGGTCATTTTTTAAAAAGGCTTATTTTGATTTTAATGGTCATAAATAATTGGTTTCTAATTAAGATTTGCTTCTTGAAGCCACAGAATTTTATCCTATTCATGACTGAAGGTGTGGGTAAAAAACTATGAGATTGATTTTTATATGATTTATGTAATCAAATTACTTTGTAGTTATGCTTACTATCTCAGACTCTTTAGAAAAATAACTCAATTTCACTTTGGGGGACTTCCTTAAAAAAAACTATTGGAAAAAAGGAAAGGTTTGAGAGAGAAATAGTCAGCTCTGTTCACAATTTAGTCAATCATTGGGCTGATGAGCTATGAAATGAAATGATAACCTCTATGAGACATGAAATATGAAGCAGCCTCTGTGTATGGAAGAGATGACCTTGTATCGTATTAGTGAAAGTATTATTCCTTTGTCACAGAGGTCTTCTTACCCAGGGACATCAACAGCTTCACCCCAGAACTTACTTAGTTTTCCACCACTGGGGAACTACTTACAGCATCAGCTCATCCTCGTTTTCAGTAGAGATTGGCTGGGTATGAGGTCACTTAATATAAAAATAATAGAGTAGAATCAATTTCAAAGGTCTCAAACCTATAATACTCAAAAACAGTACCATGAATTCTCAAGGATTTGAACATATCTGGTGAAACTTGTATAGCATTTGGGTGGGTAGTACCAGAATTACTAAGACTGTTTTAAAACCATGTGTGACTTTTAGGAAAACCCAGTGGTCATGTTGAATAGTCAACTGCTCGCCAGCTCTTCAAAAAGAGAGACATTTCTTTCCTAGAAAATGTGGTAATGTTTTTACCTACCAATGGTCCGGGGGCTCCATAAGCTGTTTGTTGTTATTTATTACCAGCAGATCTGAGCCTTGCATTCTCAGATTGAGGTAAACTAGGACAGCAACTAGGAAAGAAAGGAGAACTTTTTATTTGTTGGTTTTATCAGAGAGGCTACATCTTCTGAGGAGCTGTCAAGGGTGTAGTAAACGTCTAAGTGATTGAGTATATGACCTTAAAATAATATTCTATGAACATGACGTCATCTATTGATAATTTTATGGCTGTTTCCTCAAACCATACAAAGCTGCTAGGCCATTTATTACCTCAAGTGATGGAGAGGAACATTTTTAAAGACATGAGGTAAATCTAAATCCTCATTGTCATTATTTTATTATGTCTTGAGGTCACATTGATATTTGAATGAAGGTCGTGCTCTTCAAAGTTAAGTAGGATAAGAGTCTATGAACCTTCCAATCCATAAAACTATTACCCTAACAATTTCCCTTTAGCTAGTGAACTATCCTTTTATGTTTTACTACACAAAACTATTTGTAAAGCGTGTAGCATTTCCTAAATAATGCCTTGAGCTTGAATCTAATTAGGCTGGCAGAGTCTGGCTTTTGCCGTTTTCTCTCAGGGTTACATATGTGACTCAGTTTTCCGGAGGAACCACAGGGCACTGTGTGTAGAAATCTAGACTCCTTTTTCCCTGTTGATTAAATGCTCAGGTTGAAATATGCTTTATTTGAATTGTTTTTGGAAAACTGAATACACTTGTAACCAGTATAAAAATTTAATTCACCAGAATATATTTTCTTAGAAACACTCACTAAAATTGCCCTCAGGATTAAATAAAGCCCAGATATGCAGTTAGTGATTTAACTTACAGGCTCTCTGTTGTCTGTATATGTCTCTATCTGTCTGTGTGTATATGGCTTTCTATGTATCATTGAGTAAATAAGTTAAAACAAATTATATTTTGACATCTCTGATAAATATCAAATGTCAATACACATTTCAAAATCATCCTATATCACTAGAAAATGCCCAATGATATAAATTTCTTTTTCTTAATTTCAGATTTGACTCTATCATCCTTGCCTCTTAAAGAGATTTAATGCATTTTAATTATTTTCATACTTTATGTGTTTGCTATGAATTGAATGCTCATGCTACCTGAAATAATACTTTGGACTGCAGGACAGTATTGATTCCTAAGTAGATTGACTGTACTCTCATGATAAGTATATATATGTGCATGAGAAAACACATTCAATTATAGTCTCTGTGTTTAAAAAACTACCATGGTATACATTTTCCTATGTGGTGCTTGAAGAGTTTCATTCTACAGTTTACAAGGTGTAGATTTGCACCCCAAATTCTCAGGGTATGTTATTTTACCCAAATACTTGAAAGAAAAAAGGTGCCCTGTATCTTATCAGTACTGTTGAGGGGGAAAATTATGTGTAGGTTTGTTTTAGAAAACTACTTATAAAAGTCAAATTTATAAAATCTGTTAGGTTTTAACATAATTTCTAAGGAGATATACATATAGATATGATATATATTTTCGAGAGACTGTTTCTATATTCTTAATTAACTTCTTGGTCCTAAGTAGACCTCACAGGTGCATAAAATCATTAATAAAGCATGTAGCATTTGCTAAATTGTACCTTGAGCTTGAATCTAATCAAAATTGCATACTCTGGTCCTCTAGGGGGGGAAAATCATGTTTATTTGTGGCACATGTGATTACAAGACCCAGGGGAGGATTCTGCAAATTGGACTTGCTTGTATGTCTCGTGTCTCCAAAGAGAACTGAACATTCACAGAAGTATTTGTAAGCTGTTAACATTCTTGTTTCATGTTGCAACTAGAATATATTATTAGATTTATTTCTATTTAATTCATAATGGTGCAGAATAAAACACACACGTCTAATTTGATATCTTTTTTAAAAAAGTTTCATAATTGGTTTTTACAAGCTAGTGTTAATGGCAGAAAGTCCTTTCAAGGGCTCCCTGAATTACCTATAGTCTTTGAATCTATTTTTTAACAGGTTGTCCTTTTTGCCTCTCCCTTTGAAGATATAGGTTTCTATATTTACATTTAAATCATATTATTATACAGTGAAGACAGTGGTGGTTGAAAAGAATGTGAAGACTGACTAAGTTATGTCCCAAACAGAGGAAATTGTGTGATGATGGAGAAAGACATTGGATAATGCTGAATTATACCCCTGACTATGAAATAAGCCAGTGGTAAATGAAAAGAATGTGAAAATTTGAACTGTTTTCAAGACAGAAATTTTGGTAGAAGAGTTCCTACCTGAGGTCTGATGTGACTCAATTATGGAATGCAGTGAGCTTGGCCAGTGGGACTGCAAATCCAGCCCAACAGCTCTGAGAATTACATTGTCAGTGTACTACGTATGGAGAAAACTACTTAGATGAGGATTCTGTGAGACTAGCTTATGTGCCTTAATTGCCAGTATTTGTAAGAGATCATGCAATCTTGTGTAATGGTCTTTTATTTCGACTCTTTTGAAAACAAAAATGTTTCGTTGTTTGTTTTTTTTTTCCAGTAAAAGTAACTCCAAAGAAAATGTGCATTGTTTGTCTTTATTTTAACTAGAAAAAAGCTAGTTTAACTAGCTTTGGACATTTTCATCTCCTTCAGTTTTCTAACTCGAATCCTTCATTTAACTAAAATACTCTAATATTTCACATCCAGGTCGTATTAGTTTTCGACTGTTGCAGTCAGTAACTGCACTCAGTGGCTTAAGATGACTCAAATTTGTTATCTTACAGTTCTGGAGGTCAGAAGTCTGGGATGGGTCTTTCCCTGAACCCACATTATGTTACCTGACCAACCAAATGAATCTAATTGCATTGTGAGAAGCATCAACCAAGGTATGTGGTACTCCACTGACACCAAAGAGGAATCTAGATGACAGTGTCCCTGAGGATCTACACCAAGGCCCAGGAAAGTCATCGAGGTTATCCCCTTTGAAATCTAAATATAAGAGGCACACATTTTGGGGGACCTACTGCACAGCGAGGATCAATACCATCACAGGTCCCTTAAGTCAACCATGAGTCAGCTGGAGTCATTGTAAATCTTAAGATTGAAACCCTAAAGAGACTTGAACCCACATTCCACAAAGAGGGACATCTAGAATTCCTCACATATGTCCATGGTTGGTGGTGATAGGGCAAGAAAGAAGGTTGAGAGCAGTTCTAGGCCTTTTACTTTCCTGAATCACTTCTGGCTTCCAGCTCTTTTTTCTTGTTTCCAGAATTTTCAAATTCCATTCTCCATCTTGACTCAAGTGTGCACTGTTCTACTCTGCATTGCGTTACCTCACTAGACTGTACTGCAGTACACTCATTCAATCCTGAGTATTCCTGACTCAAGATTATATGCATGGCAGGAGTTTGCCAAAGGTTTAGGATACATGGGATGGAGACGAGCAGGTGCTCCATCATATGGTGGCCCGTTGCATTAGCAAACACCTTAAGCCTGAACTACTTACATACTTGTTCTTAATTAGCACCATGCCATCTCTGGCACAAGATAATTTTTAGAGGTCACTGAGTCCATTCATGCTTTAGCCACACTCCCTATTACTGAAGCTCTCTTCCTCTCTTCATCCTCTGCTTCTTCTGTTCTTTAGCTTGCTGGCTCAGAAGCCTCTCATTTCCTGTTATAGCTGACATAGAGCAATTTAGCCATCTATTGAAATCCTACTAATGCAGATCTACTACACTATGTCCAGAAGAACTCATCTTCATAACCAGGCATGGCCATGTTCTACTTATGTATCGTTGAGTAATGATTCACCCCAAAACTTAGTGGCTTAAAAACCAAAAAATAGTTTGTTTAGCTCATGAATCTGTAGTTTGGGCAAGGCTCAGCATGGAAGGTTTGGCTCTGCTTCACACAGGTGCACAACTAGGGGCTGGAGAATCTACTGCCAATATGGCTTGCTCGCATGACTGGAAAGTAGATGCTAGCTATCAGCTAGAGTTCAGCTGTGCCGGTCAGGGGCCTCAATTCCTCTTCAGCCTAGCCTCTCCATGGGCTGCTTGGGCTTCCTCAAAACATGGCGGCTACGTTGCAACAATGAGTATCCCAAGAGATAGGAAGCAGATGCTGCCAGTTTCGTTTCTTAAAGCCTAGTTCAGAAAGTGACACAGCATCACTTTCACCATTCTCTGTTTGACAAATAATCATAGAACCCAGATTCAATGGAAGACTGCCAAATAATTTGGGAATGTGTTCTAAAACCTCTATTCTCATTAAGGGATATTTTTAAACAGATATTTTTTAAAAAGGAATTTTAAAGTCAATTCTTAGATTACTGTAGGCTCTGTCAAATATTCTAGAAAAAAAATCTAGAATAATAGTCGTGTATACAAGGTTTGATGGGCATGTTTTTTGTGTGTTGGGCACATGTTGGAGTTTCACAGAGCAGAAATCACTGTGTATTTCCAGTGTGGAAGGAATTAATGTTCTTCAGGAATGAAAAAAAGCCTACTTCATGCCAAGTGCTCTGATTCATGAAGAGGTTAGGGTTTCAGGAAGCCTTTAAATATGGTGAGAATGCCTGATATGCTGATGAAGCTAGCTGGCCTAAGCCTTGTCAAAGACATGGAGATTGAAAGAGGAAACTGGCTAGGAGCCACAAAGAAGAGATCCATGCCAAGGACCCAGCATGGGGCAAGCAGGGAGCAAAGAGGGCTAAGAGTGAAAAGAACTGGGAAAACCAGAACAATAGCAAGAGACCAAACATAAAGAAGCTGTTTAGTTGTGCCCGGGCAGTTGAGCTACTGAAGGAGCAATAAGGGAGGAGTGTAGGGAGAAGTAGCGTGGCGAAAGCTCTTTGATAGGAGTGTATCCAACAGAAGTGGTGTGAAGAGATAGTCATTAAAGACATAGCAAAAATGAATATTTCCTTCTGCCCCTTGAAGTTACAACCTGATCAACAGATTGTCCCTTGAGTGAAGTGTTCTCTGAAGCCTTATATGCCTTCAGTACTTCTGGATAGAGAGTAAGAATAGGTTTTATTATATGCATATGTATATATACACAAAAACATTAAATATAGTATTACAGGATAACATTATTATATTATATAGATGATTATAATGTGAAAATTACAAAGAGAACACATTACCCTTGGCCTGTAGTTAGCATTCAAGAAGTATTAACTACTATAATACACTTCTCCATTATAGAATTTCTGCTTCTGAAAAAATTCAAATTCACTGCTCTACAGGTTGCTAAAAATAGTCAAACCATTTATTGAGATCTTCTATGTATCTTCTATGTATAAAAATGTTTTTTGAAGGAAATTTAGAAAATCTTAAAATATTCTGAAAACTGAAAAATATAGAAAATCCTTAATCACTCAGAGGGAACTACCACACGAATTGCCTCTAGAAATTAATATTTTTAAGTGTATTTGATACTTCTCATGTTATTTTGTAGTCTACTTATTTGTTTCATAAAATTTTAAACCTATCTTCTTATCTTTCAGTATTCTTAGAGAAAGGGTTTTTAACAGGTGAACCTTATTTCTTCATATGGCTGTATTATAACATGTTTAATCAATGTAATATTTTAAGTGCTTAGTTTTTATACTTTGGGTCTATGAAAATAACGATGCAACGGACATCTTTGAACACAGATCTTTCGAAGCATCTCTGATTATTTCTTTGAGATGAAGTCCTCTAACTAGAATTACTGAATAAAAGGACATGAACATCCTTTAAATTTTTGACATATAAGATTTTGAGATGTCTCTCTACCGCTCATATCCCAACTCTGCCACTCCCAAACATGCAAACACCCTATTTAGAAACTTCATATTTTAGCACTTCACTTGTTTAAAATTATCCTAAAGATAATTTTAGGATAAAGTTATCACACACGCATACACACACACTTTACAAATATCAGGAGAGACCAATGGTCTTATGATTTTAAATGTCTTCATTTCCCTCTAGGGCAAAACTCTCAAAGTGTGGTCCCTATACCAACAGCAAGTGCTTCACTTAGGAAACTTCTGTTTTCGGTGCAAATCCTCGGCACAGTAGAATTTGAAGTGGAGGAGAGTGGGAGCAATCTAGTTTAACAAGCCCTCCAGGAGATTCTCATGGTTACAGTTTTGAGAACCATTGTTCTGGACCACAGGGCACTGGCAACCACAAGCTGGCCACTTTCTTGGAGGGAAGCAAGAAGGCTGATGCTCCTGAGAACTCTGCTCTTGATCTATGATGTTAGCATACAGTGAGATACTATCTTTTCGATCCTCATTTTCCTCAATAATTTTTTTAATGGAGACAACAAATTCTTGTTTCAGGGTTTTTGTAAGCATTTCAAAAAAGATAATGCTTAAGAAATATTGCTTTTCTTCCTTTTTGGCAAAGTTAATCTGGTTTTTATTTTTTGCTCCTTTATTTTTTTTCTTTTGAGGGGAGTATAAGAGCACTGGGCCATGAATGAAGAGTAGACTGCTTTGCTATGGAGGCTCAGACAGAAATCTGTCTGGTTCTGATGGCTCCTTGGCCATCCTGAAAGCATTGTGAACATCCTGAAAGTGAAGAATGCACTGACATCCATAGGGAATAGTTTAGCAGTTACTGAACACCAACTATGCACTGTGCAGAGGATACTGCGGACTGTATACATGGTCCTGAGCTTGAGAAGCTCACACTGTATTTGGGAAGATGAGGTATTTGCACCTTAAAAATAATTTTTAATAACATGAGGCAATAGAGAAGGGTTGTCACCCAACTTGGTATAGTTAATTCTCAAGTGGGTGGTACATGTAATGGAAGAAACAGGCATCTTAGTAGCTGACAGCTTCTATGCACAGCAAATGTAATGGGAACTGGAATTGATGAGACTCATCTGGGCTGAAGGGCTGGAGAAAGGATGAGAGCAGAGGAACTGGGACAGCCAAACATTGGTTTGTTTGGAGAGTGCACCTTGCAAGAACAGGAGGGGCGCATAAAAGGCCGGGGTGAAATGTTGAAACTAAATGTGGAGAAGGGATTGACTTCCAGGTTTAGAAACTCAGACTGAATCCTGGTTAAGTAGGTAGCAGAGTACAGCTGGTCCCTGAATAATGTCTTTTTGTTCAAAGTCAATTCATTATAATGTTGAGAAAAAATCAGTTTTTGTCTGGGGCCACTGCCTGGGTGGAGTTTGGATATTCTTCCCATGTCTGCATAGGTTTCCTCCCACATCCCAGAAATGTGCACGTGAGGCGAGTGGCATGTCTAGATTGTCCCAATCTGAGTGAGTGTGGGTGTGCGTGAGAGGCCCTGCAACGGAGGGACATCCTGTCCAGGTTGGGTCCTGCCTTGTGTCTTAGTTGCTGGGAGAGGCTCCAGCTACCCATGTCCCTGAGCTGGAATAACTGGGTTGGAAAAGAATGATCTTACTTGTGTTTATTAATATTTCTTGAATTTATGTATAGTTCACATTTATTTCAATATTTAATATTAGAAGTGTCTGGGGTCTTTATTAGAAGTTTGGTGATGTTTTTGTGACCAGAAATATACCTTAGGAACATAGCTCTTGTTTATATCAATTACACTATGGTAAAATTGGCTCCATTATACATCCTTTCACTTAAAGTTGTAGTTTCTAGGAACCTATGTCCCAAAGTTAACTGAGGACTCACTGTACAATGGTTGCGTGCTTGAACTCTCAAGGGAGATTCCTGGGTTAAATCTTGACTCTGCCCTTCTTGAGTTGTGAGATCTTGGTTGGACAAGACACTGAATCTCTCTGTGTTTCTGTTCTCCCTATACCAAGAGTGAATAATAATTCCTACCTTATAGGGTTGTTCTGAGGAGGAAATGACTTGATACCTGAGAGATGCCTAGAGCAAGTTCACTGAACCTAACAAGTGCAATATAAAGTGTTTGATAAGTAATAAAAGTAGAGGAGGCTATGGAAGACTTTAGTTAGGCATAAATAATTGTCACTTAGGAATTGTCTTTTCATCTAATAAGTGATTTGTAGTTACCATGCCCCCTTTAGATTTCATTAGAGAGCTAATGAATTAGGTCTAATAAAGAACTTAATTGAGGAATATGTTAGACTATCTCTGCTGCATCTCTTCATATCTCAATAATCTGAAAGATTCATCTCACACTGAAATCTTTCTCCATGACTGTGTTTACATGTTTAATCTTTAGGCAAATTGAGTGGGAGAAGTATAAGAAAATGGAGCCAGTACCCCAAAATAGATTGTGGTGACTCACTTTTTACTAACAAGAGGAATCAGATAATTTAAGCCTGAAGCCTATTCTGGAAAGAGAACGTCCAAACTTTTACACGTAATCCTAGAAGATTATGGCAGGAATATTTCTAGTAAAAATAGAAGGATGAAAATAGCTTTCAGGTCTATGTGATGTTCCAAGTCAACTGTGAATAAATTAAACTTTTTAAGTAGAAGAGTTGCAAAGGATTACTAATTCATTCTAAAGTAATTGCAGTTCCATGATGGAAGATAAATAATTAACTAATATACCTCTGATGGTGAACTTTTCATCAATCTAAATTTTTGTATTATTTTATAATCTTATCAAATAGCACACCCAATTGTTCAGTAGTCTCTGAGGGGGGACACTTATTTGTCTGCACACTCAAGCTGAAGGCAAACAGAGTGCACTCCACTCTGAGGTGTTAGAAATCAAAGATAGTGAAGGAATCCGATATATAGCCAAAGGAAGAGGCCAGTTTTGGTTAAGTAGTAGCTTAGATAGAAGTAAAGAAGTTTTGTGCCCTCTTAAGATTATGAACACAGTTCTTTTGCAACATTTATATCATTGCACTCAAATTATTTTCTGCTTTATTGTTTCTCTCACCTCTTAAAGTAAGGAACCTATCTTACTTTTTTTTTTTTTAAAGAAGCAGCTGTGATTCGTTAAACATTACAAGGCTGAGGTTCCTTAGCCCATGACATCTTCGGCTTACTGTCCTAAATCAACTTGCTTTTGCTGCAGCGTAAGTATATTTACAGAGGCTTCCTCCAAAGCCAATGCTACTACCATCAATGACACACCGCCCTGCCCTCCCCCCCAGCCAATTTCTGATTCCTTTCTCTCTTCTCAGTAACATAACAGTAAGGGTGCCAGTTCAGAGCTTTATAAAAACTTGGCTTAGAACTTGTTTTCAGGTTTACAAGTCTTTAAGAGGTTCATATTGCTATTAATTTCAATGACCTATTTTTCCAAAGGGTTCTGACCTCCTACTTGATTATCTGTGTTGTCCTTTAGAGCTGCAAAGGCTTAGTGTATATGTCTGAGCTCAGAAACTGGCATGAACAGAGAAATATGGTGTTCGAAGTAACAGAAGACAAAAGTAATTTGATAGGATTTCCACATATTTATTTCATCACTCAGCATTTTAAATTTACAACCAGTGATGGGCTAGCTAAACTTCCATTGTGTGTGTGTGTGTGTGTGTGTGCACGCGCGCATGCACGTGCGTGCATATGTGTTTAATGGACAAATGAACATCTGTTATCTATTTTGGATTCATCATTATAAACACGTGCATCTGTTTTACTAATAAATGTTTTAAAATGTTTAACATGCCTCTTTTAATTTGTATAAAGACAATCTTTTTTTGATTTCATATTTCGAAGTCCAAATCCATCAGTTTCTCAAAGCAGGATTAAATTCTTTCAGCCATTCTAACTTTTGTACAGATTGTAGTCAAACAGACTGGAACTTCCACTGCAAAACAACTGAATGAAAGATAAAATGATGAATATATGAAGACGTCCCTTATAAAGGACAGTATACCACACTGCAGTCTCAAAGAGACACAGCACTAGAAAAATCGAGAGTTTCTGAAATTAATATTTCTAACTTTTATGTGCTAAGATCAATATTTTTGTAGGGCAGAAGGCAGAGAACTGACTATGTAGTCAACAGAAAGATGAGATGGTATGTTGTAATTCTGTGTGCCTTCTACTCCAATACTTAGTAAAACTAAGAACAGAAGAGATAAATATTAATTCTTGGAGCTGGCTTACAAGTCTAGAAAATCTTACCACCTTGTCCCCTACCACCTTGTCTACCCACCCCACAAAAAGGTCTGTTTTTTTCCTGATTGGGAAACATGTTTGTTAGAAACAATCCATGTTTAAGGTTCTGTCAAGGGCTACGTACACACAGATCGAAAATTATTGAAACAAAATTGGGTTCTGAGTGCGTGCGTGCGTGCATTTGTGTGTGTGTTTATAAATAATAGTTTCTTCTTAGGGAAGAACTATCCTCACTATATCAAAGGGGATTTGAGAGAAGTATTAGAAAACTAAGAATGTTGCTAAAAGTGCCACATATTTTGGCTCAAAACTGACACTGTGGGCAATATACTGAATGGGCCCAATTTGATCATTTGAGGTTTTTTCGTAGCTTTTTACAAAAATCTTAAATACAGGTAAATATGTAAACACTGTGCTCTCAGAGAGCAAGGACTTAGACATCTCACATCGTATCCCTTCTGAGGAGACGAATTCAAGTGAAACTGCACCAGTTTCAAAACCAACCACCGGAAGTGCTCTCAGGTTGCGGGGCGAACACCATCTTGCACATCTCAGAGTTCTCTTGGTGGAGAGGGAATTCAGATCCTGCCACCAGCTTTTCTTTTCTTTTCTGTAAGACGTATCCTCTGCCAGTGGACAGTCTTTCATACTTTGTCTCAAATTGCCTGCATAACAACAACAACGATAACAAAATTACACGCATATTAGAGTCGTCTCACGCCCGTCAGAGCCAAGTTATTAGTGTATACTCGAAGCCTCTGTTTCCAAGCAATTTGAGGTAGGATATGAGTGCCTCAGCTTCCATTCTCATGAATGGGGTGATTTTTTTATTTTCCTCTTTTTATACAAACAGATATACTTCAAATGCTTGGAATATGGAAGTGTGCCATACATGTTTCTGGAATGAACTAAATTCCTCTCAGCTTTTTGGAGATGCTATTAAGCCTTGCAAGCCTTGCTATGTTTCCCACTCATCATTCCAGGAGCCCCACCTTGGGCACACACCTGTTTTGAGTAAGCAGCAAGTCCAGCTGTATTTAAGATGAGAATGCTGACAAGGAAACATTCCCAGAGCTCTGGCCCAAGTGAAATGTGAAGGCAATTAGCCATGTGCTTAGGTTGGTGGTCACTGCATTTTGACCATTGGAAGGTTGATTTTTAAAATGCATTAATGGAGATTTGTTCTATACATAAATTAATATAAATTAGAAACAGCTTAACATTCTGATTATAATTTACTATATTTTATTCTGTAAAAATATAACCAACTCATATTTGTACTTATATCATTTCTACAATTTTTATGTGGATCATGAAATGTCAGTAATGTAAAGAAGACACTCAACTCTGGCCTGCTTATCAAAGGAGATGATGTAAGATATGGCTTGCTGTTTTAAGTATATGAATTGCATTCATGGTTAATAGTGTGTCAAGAAAACCTCTACAGCTAACAGGAGAGTCAGCACTAGCTAGACCAAAAGCATTCTACCTCCACATGATCGTATTGTTATAAATATGGTTACAAGACTCAGAGGACATGGTATAAATGAGACGTTCTGGAGTAGAGGAGGTATTGGGAAAGTTACACGGACAATTATATATTTGGTTTTTGAGACACTAAGAATTCTACTGAAAACATTTTTTTTTTAAATTAAAAATCCCTAACTCTCAAGTTTGAGCCAAAACTCAAATAAGGTCAAGTTGCTGTTGTATGAATTACCTAGAAGCTGTGAATTTATCTGGGCTCTTAAACCATGGTAAATGATTGGAAGATGTTTTGTTTTGAACTTTCTGTCCAGGAGACAATTGTGAAGATAGCCAATAGTAAATATGCATTCAGTATTTTTGCTGAAACTACACGGCAACTCTTATAGTAAATCAAATCTTTTTTTTTTCTTGATAAATTACTTCTAGAAAGAATATGATATTATCTCCTGAATCAAATCAACCACTCTTTTAATTCTGAAAAGTGAATGCTCAAATTGGGTGCGAGTTCCTGGTGAACTGGGGATGGCCATGGAACATTACATGAGCATTGCTTCTTACCTGAGTGGTGCTTCATCTTTGTCCATCTGCAGGCAAACCAAGAATGGGTACTGAGAAAATTGCACTGTGGAGATAAACTCCATGCCTGCTTCTGTTTCTGTACTGATTTCCAGGCCAGCTTTCACAAAGGAAGAGTCCACAGTGATGTCACCAGTTATTACCACAGCCAACCTAAAGATTTTTTTTTTGGGGGGGGGGAAACCTATTAATATCACATTTAACTGAACTAGACTAACAGCTATAATTTCATAGGATCTGAACTCATGATGCTGATGATTAGAAGGAAATACTTAAATGACTAATATGTGACCTAAATGTGCTTAGAGTTCTTTTGTTAATTAGGGCCTGGTTAGTCTCAGGGTTTGGGCAATGACGGTTTGTTTTTTCCCCTGAACCCTCGCCCAGCCTTCAATTCTAGATGCGGGAATGAAAGTCTATCAGGTATTACTGTTTGGAATGGGCATACCAAGGGCCAAGATGAAGCTATACCTACAGCCAGACCTTTTCATGAAGTCAGAAATACCTGAGTTATCTTAAAGAGAAGTCTAAACTCAACAAGAAGACAGCTGATGTTTATAACCATTTTCTTAGTTTCTTGGTTACTCTGTGGGCTTCTATGTAGCTATTTCAATTCCATTTTATTACTTTCTCCATATGGTCTCTAGAGACGTAACTCTACGGTTGCCAAGATATTTGAAAAAATATTGTGTCACGAAGAACCATTCCTATAGTGACACATGTACATGGGTGCTCCAGGAACAACAGATATGGTGGATTCTCCAACAATTGCTCAGAGGACCAGATAGACAGATTGAATTGACTAGGGAGATTGAAGTGGATGAAAATGAAGAGGATAAACAAGCCTTCAGTGGAAGGCTTACCTCTAGGACCACTCTAGTTTAATTGTAGACTTTAAATGAAATTGTGGGAAGTTACTCCCACAATTAAATCAGAGTTGTATGTCCGTGCTTTTTTGATAGGGGTACTCATTTTTGTTGTGCAACTTAAAGGACATCGGCTACTGTTGTCACTGTAAACGAAGGTCAGAGGTGGTATTGTTTAACTCCCTGAATATCTCATTGTACCTTCTCATACCTTACACTCAACAAAGGCTTAAGAGGTGTTTTTTAAATAAACAAATGGAAAATTGAAGATAGATGGGCTACAATGCAGATGCTGGGAGATTCTTAGGGATACTGTGTCCTTTTTAAAAATCCAGATTTTGGTCGTTGTTGCTGTTGCTGATTTCTTTCTGCAAAGAGTTCAGTTCAGTTTAATTTGAGGATACTTTTATCCAGAAAAAAACTTCAGAAAGAGGAAACAGATGACTGATTCAATGAGAAGCCCGAAATTGTACGCCGATCCCTCTTATGGCCTGCTCCACTCCTCATCCTACAGTTCCTTTAGTAACAACATGGGCCACTTTTCACATTAAATGTGCCACCTTTTGACTGTTCTTAACTCCTTCAACTGTAGTTCAAAATTAAAAATATAATTTTATCACTCCTATCTCACTTCTGCCTCACCATACATTTTTTTAAATATCCGAAGAGCAAAAATCAATTGTACTTCCATTTCCTTTTCTTCAATGTTATAACAAACAAAAGAATAATTCTTTTGATTATTGCATTGGTCCAGAAACATTGTTTAAGGTTCAAAATAAGATACTTTCATTTGATCTGATAAGTAGATTAGAAAAACTAAAAGACTTGAGATATTATTTTTTAGAAAAATAAATACTAACAAAAAAAACCTTAAAGACTCTTAATGTTTAATACTTAGATTCTGAATGAAAGTGATCCTCTTTTTTTTTAATCTGCTGAAGACAGCAAAAGAGGAAAGATTTGAAATCCCAACAAGAGGGTTAAGCTAAAAAAGTTTGCTTCTAAGTAAAACTTCCTGATAGCATTGTCAACTGCTAAAGTAACATACCAAGAGAAGATGAACCTTTCATCTACTAGGAAAGCTGTCAATTGATGTCTTTAAAAGCAAGATTTTTGCCTGAGTTGTATTAGGTATGACCAGCTCAAAAGAAGCTATGGAAAGAACGACTTCTTGTGGTTACTTCCTACTCTATTACTTAATGATTACAAATAGGAAGCATAGATTTTGAAAAGTCAGAAGGTTAAACAATTCCAAAAACATATGTCTATAGTTATTTGCATAAAGTATTATACATATGCTTACCGATTTTTCACTCGGGTTTTTGATTCACGATACCACAGACTAAACTCCATTGCACCAGAAATATCAATGGCCAGAGCACCCTGGATCTCTATATTGGCCTTCAGTCCTGATTGCAACTGAAGCTCCTAGAAGCAAAAATATATAATAATAGTAATAATAATCACAATCAGCCAACCCATTTCCAAAGATACACTCAACTTCCTACTGTAAATAACGCCATTTGAGTTGTGTTAATGTTGAAGTCTTTCTCTAGGCTCAGAAACACATCCTAATCTTAATCACTGGAAGATTATTGATTTGCTAAATTATATAGCCAGTTAAAATACTAGAAAAGTCAGTGACAACTAAGAAGGTGTTTTCTTTCAATCTTTGCCTCACTTTGGGAGGGGAAATGGTTCTCAGTGTTGTCCCCTGATAAATAACATCATCATCCTGGAAACTTGTTAGAAATGCAAGTCTCATACCTACTGAATGAGAAACTCTGAGGGGGGGTCCAGCAATCTGCGTTGTAATAAGCCCTTTTGTGATGCTGATGCACTCAAATTTGAGAACCATTAGACTAGGAAAAATGAAAGCATCTTCATCAGGAATCCAACTGTGGCTTTGGGATGAGAGTGAGGGGTTGGGCATGATGACTTCTTGAAATGCTTTCACACTTTTCCAGTTATATGTAGTGTCCAATATAGACAACTGCATCCTTCTGGCAAATGAAATGCGTGATAAAAACTGCCAGTGCACTATGAAAGTTCCAGGAACTGCCCAGACCAAGCTAGGAAAGGAAGGCAAGGCAATCCAACTCTCACCGCCTTGCTCTTTGACATTTGGAATGACATCGAGTTAACATGTTGAGTCCAGCATGAACTTGACAGCATATTCCAGAGGGACAGTACTCATTTACAAACATAGTCCCTCCTAAGCAATTTTATAGTTGTCTGAAATTCATTGTTTTGTGCTGTTTGCCAGCATTTCACCTTTAAGCCTTGAAGTTTCTATGTACATTAGCTCTGGTATTGTTGGCTGAAAACTTCTTCAGCTGGATTGGAATCAAATTGCCTGGGGACAGTGTTGGAAATGATAATGGTTTGGGGAGAAAAGCTCTGTATCCTTAATTTTGAAATTTTTTCAAAGATCTTAGGTTCATGGCACTGGCAGCATGACTAACTTTATGTAACTGCTCTACTCAGACCAAACAAGCCATGTTTTTGCCAACTATAAATGTCATGATTTTAATTTCTAGAAAGGATATTGTTGATCTTCATGAATTATCTCTACTTTCCAAAAAATGTGGCAAAGGATGTCAGTTAAAAGACTTGAGTTACAACCAGGTATACTAAAAAAAAGTCTGGTTGTGGTCTGAAGCTCCTTCTGTCTGAAAGACAGTTAAAGGAAAGCATGAGATTCTTGACACAGAGCTCAAGACACATTAGGTGAGAGCCCTAAGGATATTTACAGCTACATTCAGTCTAGAACAAGTGTGGTTGTGATGTCACGCAGGGATTGTCCCATGCATCATAGCTAATATGAAGGAACACAAATTATCCCAGGAAAACCACAATAATCTTGTCCAAATTTTAACCTATGCTTATGAACTATAGAACTGAGATATCAGAGCTTCACATTTGCATTGTAATTGTGATTGTTCCAAAATGAGCCCTACTGTGTGCCCTGCCTTAAAAGTATTTCTTTCTTTGTATCTTCTCTGTTCTCAAATTGAAAAATTATAATAATCTAATTGTTAGTCCACCCAACCCAGCAGA